GTTCAGGATACGCTCTGGGGCGCAGCGAGATGCTGCGTTACGGACGGGCCACACATCACGAGTTTCCCTTCCTCCTCTTCCCGTCAGACGCCGGCTGTGCCGTGCTCTCCCGTGCCAGGGGGTGGCACAGGCACCTGCAGTTTCTCTTGCAGCAAGCAGCCATGCTGAGCTGTGGCTGCGTCGTGATCTTACTGCTCCTTGTTAAAGGCAGATGACGAGCACTACATCCCGCGAGCTGTGCTGCTGGACCTGGAGCCCCGGGTTATCCACTCCATCCTGAACTCCCCATACGCCAACCTCTACAACCCAGAAAACATCTACCTGTCAGAGCATGGAGGGGGAGCTGGGAACAACTGGGCCAGTGGCTTCTCACAGGTAAAGCTCTGGAGCTCCTGGGTGCAAACACAGGTCAGCTCGTTAGGCGTGAGGCTTCATCGTGGCTTTCTCGTGTCAGGCTCTGTACACGGTTTCTGAAGACTGCCTCGTCATTCAGCAGGGACTTAGGCCTGGCACTTCATGGCACCCTGGGCACGGGGTCACGTTGCCGATCTGACTTGGCTTCGCACGAGGCTTGAGCAGCTCTTCTCCATTTTCTGTGGGAAAGGAACAAGTCTTTGTCTGATCTCTCTTACAGGGAGAGAAAATCCACGAAGATATTTTTGACATAATAGACAGAGAGGCTGATGGGAGCGACAGTTTGGAAGTAAGTAAATTGGGGGATTTGGATCCGGTTGCCCTACTCGGTGTTTTGCAAGCCAGGCTGCTCTTCTATAGGGTCGAACTCGGCCCTGTGGTGTACACAGACTCGCTCAACTTGCTTCTAGGTGCTGAGCAGAGAACATGTAGAGAGGGGAACTAGGGAAAGGAGGTCTTTCCCATCACTACTACATCTGCCAGGCTTCCTCAGAAACCTGGGGAAGGTTCCCTGCTTCCTCAGCAGGGCATGTTTCTGCCCCGAATACTGCTCACATTGGGCGCTTCCTGCAGGATACAGTTCACAGGAAGTTTCAGGCATTGTGGGGCTTTTTACTTTCCCTGTTCCACTTCCTTCCCGTGGCTCTTCCCTGCATCAGCTGAAGCAGGACACGCACTGCCTGTCCTCCGGTGAAGGCCCTCGCGGGTAGGGAGGGCTGTGCTGGAACAAGGCACCTGCTGCCCCTCTGCCTGCAGCAGCAGCAGGAGCCACAGGCTGCCAGCAGGAAGGTGTTTAGACCCAACGTTGCTGAGCGCTTTGAAATCCATGGAATGAGCATCAGCAGCTGTAGCTTCATTTTCTCTTCAGCTGAGTTAAAGGGGCACCAGGGGTACTCACAGCTCTTGGCTGCTTTGCCACGTGCCTCTGGCAGGACCTTGGCTACTACCCGTGTAAACCCGTTCCCTGTGCGTAGACAGACGGGGCTCCCTGGTCTTTGTGTCAGGCTGTCACATGGCAACAGGGAAAGGGAAAATGTGATTGTAAAATAAGTTGGCAGAAGACCCAAGAGCCCGTTGTGAGACCTGCAGCGGGCAGGAGCTGCCCTGAAGTCAGGTAGAGGGAGTTTGGCCTCGGGAACTCTAGAAGGAGGGGAATGGCGTGGAGGGCCCAGGGAAGGGGCAGATAAGCCTGCCTCCATGTTGTGTGAGCAGCCGGATCCCGGAGGTGACGTTGGAGCTATTCTGAAGTCTCTTCTGGGGTGGGAGGAACCCGGGAGGCTCCTGAGCAGCAGTTGCACTTCGTGTTGTGTGCAGAGACGTGGATTCCACCCACGCTGGCAGAAGTGGCCCGGTGACCGTGTGGCTGTAGCTGTGGTCTGCAGGAGCCAGGGTTAACCTCTGCTCCGTCCGCAGACATCAGCTCCCTGCTCGGAGTTGTCTCGGGGAGTTCTCGCCCTGGCTGGCGAGTGTCTGCTGGAGGGCGCCGCGGTGGCACTGCCTGCTTTGCTTTGCCTGCTCCTGGGGCTGAGCCGGACCGTGAGCTGCCTGCGTTCTGCTTCCTTCCAGGGTTTTGTGCTTTGCCACTCCATCGCCGGCGGAACGGGCTCTGGGCTGGGCTCGTACCTCCTGGAGAGACTGAATGACAGGTGAGCATTCAGCCCAGTCCCCTTCCCTCACCGCAGTCTGCCCGGTCCGGGCGCCCTGCCAAAGTGGGGAGCTGGAGCCCGCTGACTCAGAGCCACCGCCCCCACCCAAACACTCTTGTGCAATCCCTGGCACGCTGCCCGGGAAGGGATGGCTCCTGATAGCCCAGGGACTTCAGAGGCTCCAAAACTGGGCTCGTGCTGTCCGAACTCTGCCTCTCCTCAGCCGTTCTTATCAGGCAGCTGCCTCCTGGAACCCTGACTGTGCAGGGCAGGGGGGGAGGCTGTAGCTGTGGGTTCTGAGCTGCCATCCCGGCCTGTTTCAGCTTGCAGCCTCTTGAAAAGGCCTGTAAGGCTTCCTCAGTCTGCGGATGGCTCAGCCTCGCCTGTAGCTGTCTGGCAGCCTGCTCCTGCGCTGCTGGGACAAATTCTCTCCTTCCCTGGGAGCCAACTCTGGCAGGCAGTGCTGGTGACTCACTGCTGTCCTGAGCCCTGGAGACTGCAAAGGGAGCTCGTGGGAGGAGAGAGTGCTGGCTTGGTGGTGTTAACCCTTGAGGTGGCTGGGCTTTCTCCCCAGGTATCCCAAGAAGCTGGTGGAAACCTACTCGGTTTTCCCAAACCAGGATGAGATGAGCGATGTTGTCGTCCAGCCATACAACTCTCTGCTGACGCTGAAGAGGCTGACTCAGAACGCCGACTGCGTGGTAAGAGCCCCGCTGCATGTCAGGCCGGCAGTGCAGCCGGCTCCTGCACGGCAGCCCCGTCCTCAGCCGCTCAGAAACGCAGCCTTTGCTGGGGCGAGTGCCCTGGCTGCGCGGGGCGCGTGCCACAGCAGTGTGTGGTGTGCCTGGGAAGCTCCAGATGCACAATGAGTGCACCCCTGTCCAAAAGGACTGAGCAGATGTGGTGGCTG